TAATCAATTATTGACATTTTCAAGGATCATGGTTGATCCAGTATACGAGAAAAAAATTATATCATATATAATACCACAAGTGATAATATTTTGCCGGAAATATTCGGTGATTGTTACGACAGCTTGTTGCCTAATAATTTCTTGAATGACATTGTCATCAAAACTACGAGCCGTAGGCGAGTAGTTTTGGATCAATGTCATGAGCGAAATTAGAGCAGCAAGCTGGAGTATGTCAATCGACGAATATTTCCAGGAAAAATAGTATCACGAGTTGTATTCGTATGACTATATTTCATGATTGAATGAGACAATATATATAAGAAATAGGAAACATAATCTAAGTATATTCCAACTCAAACTGCGAAGAAGAACATAATGATAGTGATGAAATACAGAATTCAATTTTTTAGAAATTAACTACCTGCTTTTAGTATTTCACAAAGTGGAATGTACAATTTTGATGAACAGTATTTTGTTTATCATCTTGGAGATGGTTGCTCTCATTTGCTATCCAATTCGAACAAAATAAATTGAATTTATGTGACATAAATTAATTAAAAAAAAGAATTATTGTCGCCGACGGGCTTGTACCACCGACCTTCGTATCACCGCGCAACAACCCTATCAGTTGAGCCACATCACCTGGATTTTATTGGTCACAATAACTTGAGTGACTGAAGAAGATTACTTCAAATGTGAATTTGCATTCTAGTATTGTTGTCAGACCGTCAACAAATATGCAAACTTATTAAATTTCACATGAAATGTCCAGCCAGAATGAAATTGTCTCGCCTTTCGTACAAAATGTCTCACTAACGCGAATTATAAGTAAATAAAATGAAGTAGGTACTTAGGTTATTATTGTCTCTTGTGTCAGATATGAATACAAAGCAATCTTGACCAGACACGATGTCAAAATTTTATCGCTGATAAACGAGGTTTGTTGGTCACGTGTGGGTCAATTCGGCTTCTGTATTGGTAGAGCAAGTCCGATAAAATTTAATAAACGAAAAATATCGCTAGAATACAGAAGAAACCGTGAAAATGGTCGATTCTGATTGGTTCTCGAGATCAAGAGTGGAATAGTCATTAATATTTTTCGGACAGAGTAGGTAGGTTCTCATTTATTCCAGAGTTATTATTTATCAGAATCGTCCTCGATGGTCACAAAAAATGTTCATCGTGTATTCAAAGATTTTGAGAATTGCTTTATGTCTGTCGAGTTCACCAACGTGAAAATAATGTTGTAATTTATATGTGGGGCGTTCCGGCAATTATTTGTATAACTATGTATACCCTTCCATAGGTAATATTCAAATAGATCCTGAAATTAACATCTCCATCACTCTGATGATTCATGTACGAACAATGATAATCATTGTTTTGCGTATAGCGTTTGACAAAATTTGCATTGAGAATGCATTAGATGTCCAATGGGCAGGTCCGTAACCAGGATTTTTTCATTGGGGGCCATATAGATTATATAGAACCAAATGGCCATAATGTGTGATATAGTTCACAAGTATGATATGATATGAATAACGCGTGCACCAGATTTATAATTTATGCTTTCTTAGTAATCACAGGCAAGGGACAGTCATTACCGGCAACGTGGCCAAGACAATTAAAATTGCTTTATTGTAGAGAAATGATTATGATGAATATTATGATTTTCCAATATTTTCAGGACCATTGTGTCGTACTTACCATTGATGCATCATCAGGGATTGACATAATTGATATCAAATAATTGAGATGAATATATCCAAATGTTTGTATCGATTTTGTAGAAGATGATCAGTGCCTGATGCAAAGGGCCAAACTTCATATGTGAGGTTCGTTTTCGAACTCTCTCACCATTTACCTCATTAGTTTTCACATTCTCAACTAACCTTTTCAGAAATACACAGAAAAATGAGAATTCTATTTTTCTTTTTATCAATCTTGAGTAATCGTGAAAGAGAAATTCACAGTTTTCAGAAGACAATAATTCGTTTTCTGCATGCACACATATACGTATTACCGATTCAAATAGAGAACCTACAGAGCAATCAGATTGTATTATTGATTACAATAATTATTGATTTTCACCAAATTTTCAATTTCGAAATAGATTTTGATGTTCTTGAAGAACTGATCTGCTTTATTCATTCTGCATAACACCTATATTATATAAATGAAATGGCGATTATTTTGTAATTCTCGTAGTTGTGTCGATATTCGAATAATTGTAGATGAAGTGTAGTATTGCACTCGCGCATAACAGCTATTACATACGATGATAAGAGCACTCGCTTTCGGCTTGTACTGCAATGTTCATCTTCGTAAGTGATGTAACCATTATAGCGCGCTCGTTGAATAATGTACTAGGAACGAAACACCAGTTATATTACCATAGGTGGTTAAAAATGTTTCTCGATATTGAAGCTGAATATAAATCAGTAGAAAAATGTGAAACAATTAAAAAAAACATAGCGGAAAATTGAATTTGCCGTTAGATTGCTTTGAGGAACCGCACGGAAAAAAGGAATTGTTGAATCAAGCAAAATTTAATTGAATGAAGCAAATCAAAGTGTCATATATGCACGACAAAATATAATCTTGAAATGAGTAAATCTATATCTTGTTTCAGAGCGAATTTGGAGTTTGAATTGAGTAAATATGTCTTGAATGAACTCTGGATCTTATTCAATCAAGCACATCCATGAATTGTTCATGAAGAGATATTGAATTGGCTCAAACAATCATTTTGTTTGATTCAAAATAACAAGATATTGATTCGATGGAATATTTGGTTAAGTCAATGAAATATTTTGTTGATTCAATGAAATATTTCGTTGATTCAAGAGAAATTATATTTTCATTTGACAAATTGTTTTCTTGAATCCAATTCAGTATTAATTCGAGAGTTCTCTGAAAACTAGACTAGGAACTTAACCGACTTCTAGCATACTTCCCTTCAGCTGATGCAAAACTATTTCGGATTGCTAATCATCCTAAGTTCGATTTATCCAGCTGATATTTCAAAGACAAAGAATCCGGCCTCACGTATATGATCGCCATCTAGAGGCGAAAATGTAACTTGATGTAGAATAAACAAAATATTTCATTGATATTACATATTTCGTTGCTCTATTCAAGCAAATGATCCGTTCGAAACGAGTTCATTGCTACATCGGAATAAGAAAACTTGTATGTTGTTTCAAAGATATATTCTCATCAAAATGATTATTATTTCATCAAGTCAACAAAATGTTTATAGTTGAATCAACATCGACATTATTTTGGATCGACATAATTTGTTCTTGAGAAAACCATATATTTTGTTGATGGAATTGATATTATACTGTTGAATCAATCAGACTACATTCTTGATTTGAACAAGCTGCTTCCATGAAATAATCATGCATCTGGTTGATTCAACAAAAAATTGCTCAGTCCAACAAAAATAATTCAAGCATAATTAATTGGTTGATACAACCATTCCTTTTTTTTTCGTGCGGGTGGTAAAGGAAAGGTTTTCCGTCTAGATATGAATTTTTTTCGAGCACGCATTTTTGTTATTGGTATTTCGTTTTGAAGTGACATTTTGGGCTCGTCTTCCCCACAGTTGGGTGTTTCTCAATCTGATTTCGATATGGAATAATATCGTGAACAATGGCCTAATCAGTTAGCTGCACCCTCTTCATATATGCATACAATATGAATGAATAACTTGTTTCACTTTTTATGCTAAGCTGACACAGTGTTAGAATTCGAAATACATAGGGAGCCACCAAACAAGCATTATCAAACGATAACTACCGATTAGTAGTACTGATACTCTATCTGAAGTTAGTATACCTACTACACAGAGAAAATATATCATGAAAGGGATGCCCATGTATTCGATTATACACTATATTCCATAATATTCTTCAAGTAGAGTTACACTACATCCAGTGAAATACCGCGAAAGTGCCAGATATAGGAAGAAAGGTGGAAAATGTTAGGGTAGTGAGCATATCAACAATAGTAATATCGATTATTCATTCCTCTCCATATTCCACTGTGTTTAGCTCGGTAATCAAATGAAAATTAACAATATCGTTGCATGAGACAAAAAGGTATTGCTGGCTGTGATTATTCAAAAACAAGTTATCCAATTATTCAGATCTCGAATGAACTACAGAACGAGCAAGAATGTGAATCTTGAAGGCTCTCCTGATCAAAACAAAAATACCCGACTATATGATGTATTTATATCTCTAGCATGGGTATGAAATGCCAAATCTACCGAAATCGGAAGCAACAACAATGTTGTTTATTCTTGATGACCTAGTACATTCTTTTTAGTCCCTAGGAGCTAAAGTTCAACTTCAGCTCCTAGGAACTATAAGTGTTGCCTAGCAACATACCGTTGTTTGTGTCAGTAATATAGAAACGTCAATAATTCAAGAGCTAATTATGGTAATAAAATGGACGACTTTCGTGTTGGTTGCAGAAAAGCTCTATTTATTCAATAACACCTTGGTAGTCGCTGCAGTTATTAGTATTTAATACTTTGGTAACACCATGGATGAGATCAATGATGAGTATGCCTTATATTTATGGACTTGCAGAAACTTTCAAGGTCAATAACTCCGTAGCGAATTGCCAAATACATTTTTTATATGAAGTACTGACATTATTTTTGCTCACTCTATCAGCCCTATCATTTACGAAATGATCTTTGCTGACACTCTGTATACCTATATGTACCTTCTATGTTACGTGCGATGGGAAAATGAACATTGTCTCGATAATTAGTTCAGTTAGAAGCAAATTTGGCTGCTCTAGGTAATTTGACATTTGAAATACCAGAGATTATATCATTCAGAACATGAGATCACTAGCATTGCTGTATCACTAGTATACAGTACTTGAATTTACTAATTCATCGAATTTTTACGCCGACTTTCTTTAATTATTATTGTTTTTATTGATTCCTCGGTTGTTACTTTACTCCGATATTTTTTCAGGTTGCCAGACCTTGAGGATGGCTGCTTCCAGAAGAGCGAAAGCTTTGGGAGTCGAATCCAAAGCCGTTCGAATGCCCAGATGCAACAAAATGGGCGGTTTCGAGCCCATACAGTGTGACAACGAAATCGTGAGCTCCTGCTGGTGTGTGGACGAAGCAGGTTTCGAAGCACCAGGAACTAGAGCTCCTGCAGCGGCATTGGTCAACTGTACAGGTTCGTTGGCTGCATGTTTTTTTTGTCACCACTAGCCTTGAAACCTCACCTCTAACTAACTGAATATTTGGAGCGAATTGTATCGGTATATGCATATCGTACCCCTGCTTCAAAAGTAGCACAGCTAAAAAAACAGTGACAGTGGGTAGAAAAATGTCTCTTAAAGTCTCACAATTGGATTTCTGTATCATCCTGAAAATCAATGGCATATTTTGAGTGGAGTCAGTTTCACTGAATTCGAAGTAAATTTTCATGGTTTACTTCGACACTCAAATTGAATGGTGAAAATCAATAAACTGTCATAGCAAAAATCGCCTTATCCATCGTCTGTTACAATGGAGAACTTGTCTTATCCACCGCGACCAATAAGATATCGTGAGAATCAATCACGTGACTGGATCATGGGAATCTTGTCACTGTGATCGCTTCATTTTGTTTGTGTTATTCAATCAAACTTCGTTCTTCAGGATGAAACGTTTATCAGTTTTTGTTTTGTAATGGTTATAGTTAATACATTTAAGAACTTGGAAAAGGTCGAGAGTGAATTGCAGAAAATTAAAATTGAACCTGATGGAGCTGATGAAGAAGTAGGCTTGAGACTTTGAATTGTCCTCATTTCCAAAATAATAAACCTCGTCAAAGTTCTTCTCTTTTGTTTCGAATTTGCTCAAGATAGATAAGACGACTTTTGCTTTGAGACGCTTCAAATCTAGTATTTATTCTTAACCAATGACGACTACTTCTCATTAGCGGAATATTCAATCATGTCAGCTATTTTTCATGTCAATGGGCGTGTACACCTCAGTAAAACTTTTAACTCGAACCTTGTTTTTAATGATCCTTTTATACATAAATAATGATTGACGACATAATTCGATCAAAAAATTAACTAGAATGTTTTATTTTCGGACATAAATAATAGTACCTTCTGAAAACGGACCCTCTTATGACGTAGAAACCTCATCTCGCCATAGTTAAAAGTAAATGCCAAACGCCCGACGGCGACTGGGGCAACTGATATATTAATTCTTTCATCTGTGATCTCGTGCTAATTCACTCTATCAGAAATCATGTATCATTCATCTCTGTCTGGAATAGTCTTGTTTCAGTATTAGGGTTTTGATTTCAATAGTTTTTTTATAAAACGTAGGGAGCTCACAGCAAGAAACGGTTTGCGGTGGTGAGCTAGTTTGGGTGATTTCTATCGAATTATGAAATAATTTTTTTTGTGATATAAGTCCATTGATGTAATACGTATAATACCATTCTGATCAACCCCCACTCTATATTCATATTTCATTATACAGGGTGTCCGCTAATAAATGGTACACAGCAAAACTGCATATTTCTAGAACAAAAATATTGAGATCAAGCCAAACTTACCTCCATCCGAAAGTTGATAATAATAACAGAGATACAAGATGTCAATGTTTCAATTTGCATTTCGTTTTTTCGCAATAATCAAACGGAACGAAGTTTGGCATTTGGAGGTTTTCTGAGGCCAGAGATTAAAATCCGTTCTTAGTTGGATGTCACATGTAGAGGATGCCACTTAGGGGACATTAAATCTCGTTAAAATGATTTAATTTGTTTATGTCACGGTGTATTATTCAAAATGTTGCAGATATTATTTATTCAACATCTTTTTTAGGTAAAGCACGTTTGTTATTGCATCTGATTTGATCACAGCCTACTTAAAAAAATGCAACTGAGAATTCGCGAAGTTGTATTGAATAATTGAGACGCAGATATCTCGAAAACGGCCACTCGGAGGACATTTGCAAAGTATGCCTTTTTACGTAAAAAGTATGTTAAATACATTATCGGTTGAATTCAGAATGAAAAAGTTTCAGAATCTGTGAACACCTGATAAGGCCCGTATTTGAAAAAGAAAAGTTGTTGATGATTCTAAGAATACGAAACGTCGCGTTAGAAAATTAATATCACTACGTTGATACGGAAAAGTATCTTTAGTTTTTTTGTATTGTCAATAATAACATAGAAAAAAAAAAGATTTTCCAAAAATAAACTTTTTTGATATAACTGAAAAACTAAAACAATTTTCAAAGTTTTTTAAGGCCTTTGGGTGTATGATGAATTGACATTCATCATACAGGGCGTGGAAATGAATTCTGAATTGAGACTCTATCACGAATCTGCGATTAGAGGTCTATAAAAATCACAAGTTTCCATCGTTCAAGTTTGAACCCCCTGATTTGGTATGAAAGTGTTGAAAATGAATATTCTCAGATAAATTATGAACATACAAAAATGGATATATATTTATATAAAACAATACATTGAGAATTCGCATTCTCTATGTGATGAGAATATTTACTCGTAGTGGCATATAGCCAGGAAAGTAGTTGTTTTCTATTGAATTAACTGAAAAAGAGTAAATATTCTCATCACATAGAGAATGCGAATTCTCAATGTATTGTTTTATATAAATATATATCCATTTTTGTATGTTCATAATTTATCTGAGAATATTCATTTTCAACACTTTTTTAAGGCCGTCGGTTTGACCCACTGAATGCGCAACTTCTTTCCCATTCAACCTAATTCCTCCCTTTTCCGAGATCCCCATTCCCCATGCTGTGCAACCCGGTGCAACCTCACTTTATTAGTGACAGAAACACGTTCTATCATTTCTTACGATAATAAAAACAGTTCTTCATTCTCTATGAGGCTTTGGTTATCTTGTTACGTAATTCTCAGGGGGGGATGACTAAGACTTTTATGTGATATTATTATACCAAAAGATACATCTGATGGAAGAAGGGGTCAAAAATGGCAACAAATCTCGATCCAACTAAATATTTTATAAATTTAGCTATGATGCCTTCGTACCTTAGTGTGAGTATCATTGTTACCGACCCAGTGGCATCCGAAGAAACGTGTTGAAATGAGTTAATTGACTCAGGTGAAAGTTTGAATAAAAAACAGCCTCTACTGATTCGTAGAAATTGTTATTCTTGTGCCATTGAAAGTGTAGGAACGTGGAGAGCTGACAACAATCTTAGTCACTACATAGATCATTGGAATATTTTTGTTTCGAATTCTTCGAATACCGAAAGCAGAAATTTACATCAGTGACTTATGTCTCATGTTATTCTGATTCGAACACAAAAAGTTGAAATACCAGATATATCACATGTTTCAACACACGAAAAAATTTGTTTGTAATGCATTAGTCCTTTCTTTTCCATGGCCAGATTAGACAACTTTTGTACCCCAGACGTGTGTGTACACGTGTTGATTTCTTGTCAACTTGCATTGTTGCAATGCATTGAAAATTTCCTATTTAATTACACTCGCACGATGGCTGACCAAATTGATATTGTGAAATCAAATAATGAATCAATACAATTGTCTTATTTGGACCATTCAAAATTACTGTCGAAAGTGTACAGGGTGGCCAACTAAGACTCCAGAGTTCGATTTCTTTGTTGTCTTGAGAGATACAAAAAAAATGCATGAATCAAAATTGAAGTAATAACCGAGCTTCACATTTCAAAATTTCTTTGAAATACACAGGGTGTTCCGTAAGGTCACAGCACATCAAAGCTATGTTTTTTTCATTGGAACACCCTATATTTTATTTTATTTTTGAATTCTCCCTGAAGATCTGATTCCAACGACCCATCATACTTAGGGTCTAGCAGTGAAAGTTACTGACATATAGGGTGTGCAAAATCGAGATTTTCCAAATTCAGGATTTTTTTCTGTCGAAACTGTTCATTATTCGTCAAAACGGTTTACATGTCCCTATCTCAACTTTTCACTCACTATCAATTGGTGTTCAATTGAAATTGATACAAGGTGGTCAAAAAATCTAAATTTATAATTTGTTTGAATTAAATGTCAATTGAACACCAATTGATAGTGAGTGAAAAGTTGAGATAGGGACATGTAAACCGTTTTGAGGAATAATGCACAGTTTCGACAGAAAAAAATCCTGAACTTGGAAAATCTCGATTTTGCACACCCTATATGTCAGTAACTTTCACTGCTAGACCCTAAGTATGATACGTCGTTGAAATCAGATCTTCAGGGAGAATTCAAAAATGAAATAAAATATAGGGTGGTCCAATGAAAAAAACATAGCTTTGATGTGCTGTGACCTTACGGAACACCCTGTGTATTTCAAAGAAATTTTGAAATGTGAAGCTCGGTTATTACTTCAATTTTGATTCATGAATTTTTTTGTATCTCTCAAGACAACAGATGATGAACTCTGGATTCTTAGTTGGCCACCCTGTACAATCTGACAAATTATTTCCATGTGCTTTGTTGACTTTCTGAAAATGTTCATTTATGTTTTCTGAAAAGTCATCATGGACACACTGAATGTGTAAGGATAAAAAAGCATATGATAATCATAATATAATAACAGGATTCTGTACTTCATATGCATATTCCTGAAGTTCATGCATATATTATAGGTCTTCGTAGATTCGAGTTTACTTTTCAAATGAAAATGATTTTTGGTATCTCATACAGATAGTAGGGAGATTTATTTATATTTCTACCACTGGCGTTCGTATGGGATGTATATACTGGAGATTTTTCTGAAAAAATATTGTACGCTCTTACTTTTTCTGAAAATAAAAATCAATTTCAAATCCTTATTTATTCTTCAACAATTTAATTCCGTGAAGAAATAAAAACTATTTTCATGCATTTGTGGTATAACGAAATTACTTTGAACTAATAGGCTGTTGCCTATTTTGTAATTGAAATAACGACATTTCATCGATTACGTTGCGGTCTCATTTTGACAAGTATTCATAAACGTGACAGTTTTCTACATTGTGAAAGTTACTTCAATAAATAATGAAGAGGAAATAAAATTTTAACGCCCTATAGCTCGAAAGTTTAGGTTTAGGTTTGGGGCAGTATATGTTCATGCGAACTTTTTTCTAAAAATGAGCTAAGGAATCATATCCTATATTTTCAGTCATCAATTAACTTACACCCTGTATAGAATACTTGAT